GTACCTACTTAGTAAGTCTTTGTTGAAAAGTCAAGTCATGTAAATATTCTGAAAATCAGTTTGCTCGCTAAAACCAGATCTAATAAAAACCATTATTACTGTAAGGATCAAATGAGATAATGGATATTGAAGCATTATGGAAGCATTTTTATTGCTGTTTGGTGATAAGGGCAATGTGGCATTAGCAAAAATTGATCCTAGAGTTAAATTAGTTTCAACACCTTTTGCTTAGGCAGAGTATTGTCATTATTTATTAGACGATTATTTCATTTGTTAAGCTATTGATCAGCACTGCTGAAAAGCTAGAAAACAGCAGGTTTTGACCCTGACCCCTGGAATCTCAGAAAACAACCTCGTAATAAGATACGGTTTGCAATATGTGTTTGTTTAACATTAACCAACTCGTGAAACTGAACAGCACCATAGTCCGTATTTACCCCTGAACCTGCCCTCAGAGCCAGTGTTTAAACGTGCAAATGTGCTGATAGATTTTGGGGGGTTTGGTTTGACTTTGCTTTGGATTATTTTGTTTTCTGTGAGACTGACAAAGCATGAAGAGCCCGATATGTACCAAGACATTTCCAGATGCCACAATAAATGATCTACACTTTACCGCCATGCTGGGATTTGAGATGGCATTTTTGTACTAGTTCTCAGATTGTCCAGCCACAAAGCTTTGGTCTAATCAGAATCAGTCGATACAAAGGTAAGACCTTTTCATCACTATGAATCAGACAAGCTGGCAGTATGGATGGATGACTGGCTCTCTTTGAGGCTGGTTCTTAATCAAACAGGACCCCATGGGGGAGGGAATAGCTCAAGTGGTAGAGTGCACGCTTAGCACACACAAGGTCCTGGGTTCAATCCCCAGTACTGGTTCTTTGGGGGCAGTCATTAAGGAAACAAGGTTTTTAACTCTCCCATGCCCAATTAGGAAAAGAATCAACAAGAACAAGAACTATAATATAAAATCAAGGAAATGAGGCTGCAATGAGTTGTTGAAAAATCCCCTAGGATTTTACTCAGTGTTTTCTGGTCACATTTTAGTCACAATATTGTTTACATATTTCTTTAATGTCCAGTAGAGTTGTTTTTTTTTTAATGAACTAATAGAAGGATTTAGAAATATGTGGCCAAAACATAAAACACATTTTTAGATGTCTTCTCAACAGAGTAATTGCCTTTGTATGACTTCAATCAGCTAAATCACTCCAGCTGTAGTGGAAAAGTGAGGCTCTGTTTGTTCTTTTTTCCCTAGGATTTCAGCAAAGAAAAGCGCTCAGTTTGTACACGCATTATCACCAAGTGTAGCTCTACCCACGAGGCGTGTTTGGGTGTCTACACAGACCCATATTCAGTGTGTAGAAACAGGTGCGGTCACGTGTTCTCAGCACATGGGTTTCCACCAAAAATGTTGAAAGGAATAATTTTCTTTCAAAGCTTGTATTATCTAATCACACTTAGTTATTGTATGTTGTGGTCGCTGAAACTATTTGAGACTAATTGACAGAGATGTACGTGAGATAGTGTGCCTGTAATGAGTAGATTTGGGGAAAGAATTACTTTTTAAGGAGTCTAAGTTAGAGAGTACCTGTCTTACTCTTTAAGCATGGCTTTATGAATCTTACGGTGACAGACTTTGCTTTGTATCTTGAGTAGACTGATAATTAATATCTCTTTATATTTCGTTCTAATACTTTTCCCTTCCTTTCTTCCCACCTTCCTTCTTTCCTTCCTTATTTTTGCACAGAACACGGTGACTTATTAAAGAAGGTACGCATACTTTTTATTTACTTTTCTGCTAATGGGATAAAATACATGTACAGAGCTTAGAACAGGGCTTGAGAAAAAGTAAGAACTCATAAAATATTAATTGTTCTTGTTGGTTCTATATTTTTAAATTGGTGAACCTCATAAAATAGCCTAGGAATTTAACATTTTTATGAGAAACCTCTTCAACAGTAGATTATTTTTGATTCAGAAAAAGTTACCATATATTAACTAAACCCCAATTTAAACATTTCATGTTATACTCTTGCCTGAATTCCAGATGGCAAATGTAATTCCTAGGTCTACTGGCAAACTTTCCAGGAATGGTCCCCAAACTTTCATTATTTGCACTATTCACAGATCCCTGAGAGACATAGCTTCCTTTCATGGGCTCGTTCAGATATTCAGCCTCTTAAGCATTAGCATCCATTGCCGTGCGTTAACTTGTTGCAGAGTTAACATTTCACATGTAGGAAGCCCTGAACACATGTGTATTTATAACAGAAATGCTGACATGACCTTGGTGCCTCCAGCCCTACCCCCATCTGCTGCAATGTCTGTTTACTCTGGTCTGGTATTTATTAAAATATACACACTTACCATAGCAACCATTGCAACACAACGCATATATGTGTTTCTAAGATAAGGAGATCTTTTTCTTAAAGAAACATGCACAAATACATTAGTTGTACAGGTACAGACTAGATATTCTGCAAAATGGAAATGTGTATAGTAAGAACATTTTCATAGGAGACCATAAAAATATTTCCAAATCCTTAGAATGTTTCTAAGTATTGATTACTGCTATTATTATTATTATTATTATTATTATTATTATTATTATTATTATTATTTACAAAAGGAATTAAGAGTGTAGGGTATTTGGATGTATAACAGTGACTCTGGCAAAGAATTTGGGTTAATGACTATCATTGTATAGAAGTGATGATTTGTAAATATAACGCCTTATTTTTATTTTGAATGATATTTTACATATATGTTTGAAGTTTATTTGTTAACAATGAACCTTGAAGAACCTGAGAAAAAACACTTTAAATCTTTCTAAACAAGTATAAAACATTTCTTCTATTTTTATGGTGAGAAAATGATTTGTGCTTTACTATCAGGCGGGGAGGTGACTGGGCCTGCTTTTGGCCTCAATATTTGGTGTATTTGGTGTATTTGGTGACTTAAGTCTCATGCAATTTGAAGCCCAATACACACGACTATTTCCATTACTGTCCCTGTACAAAAGTGGGCTGCCCTCATTTATTTTTTCTCACTTAAGTTTGATAGAGACTAAGGGAGTAAAAAAAAAAAAAAGTTTTCACATGGGCTATTGAATTCCTTTTCTAATTTTTTTGCAAAACAAAATATTTACAAGTCTAGAACCTCAGGACTATATACGTCTAAAATATTAGTTTTATTGAAAAGAATTACAAAAGGGCACCAGTTGGCCCTTTATTTCAACTCCGATCGAAACTTTTAAAAAGTGGCTCTGTAGGAAGTAACGCCCCAGAGGGACTGGGGGACCTGTGTGTAGAATAACCTCTCAGCAGTTGAGAGGATCAAATTCCTGAAAAGTCCATGACAGGAGAATTCCAGGTTGGGTAACTAAATAACTCACAGAGAAGATATGGCTTATGGGCTTGGGGCCAAGCCTGAGTGAATCTGTAAAATATTTTTATACTCATAAATGTAAAAATATCACCAATGATATCATTACATATTTTAAATTGATGGTGAATAAATACAATCAAATTTCAACTTCTCACCTTTTGCTCACTAAAACATTTCTAGAATCTTAACTGTTGCTGTTGCATAGCAGATTACTGTTAAAATTAACTACTATTATATAAATTACTTACTCCTAATTTCAATTTAATGTGTTTAATTTAAACGGGGAGTTTGGGATTAACAGATACACACCACTATATATAATATAGATCAACAAGGACCTACTGTAGAACACAGAAAACTATATTCAATTTCTTGTAATAAGATACAATGGAAAAGAATCTGAAAAGAAAAAAATATATAATATGTAGATGTATAACTGAATTGCTTTGCTCTACACTTGAAACTGACATTCTAAATCAACTACACTTCAATTAAAAACATTTTTAAAAAAATAAATAACTTGATTAAAAGAGTGCTAATGAAGTAACACAAATTTATTATTAATAGAGGCTGAATGCCCCTTAAAAAGTATTGTCCAGTATAAATGGCTAATGTAACCCCAAGGGGTTAATTCTATTCTCTTTTCAATAGTTAAACAGAATGAAGAGAAATCACACTGAAGTTAAAAGCTGACAGGTGTTTGGAAAGTTTGGGTTTTTGATTTTTCACCTGGGAAAAGAAGACCTGCATATTCATCTGGCACAGGAGCAGGGAACGCTTGTAAGTGTGACCTTCATAATCCATCCCAGCACCTTTTCTTACAAGATAATCAAATGGTTTGGGTCACTCCTCTTCAGGGTGTCTCTCATCAGCTACGGGCAGACTACAGGGGCATGCCAGTGGGCTCTGTCACCCAGGGTCTTAAGAAAGGCAGCTTAGACAACTCACAAAACCTACGAAGCACCTCTGCAGAAATCATATTTTCAGTCACTCCAACCCATTCCCCCATTTTATTTAAATATTATTTAATGCTGAAATTTTTTACCTTAAAACTGACTTTGTTTTTAGGCAAACCAGACTTGCAAAATGAGAAAAGCAAGTGTAGTGTTCCTTAGATGTGATTTTTGATTGTCCTTGGAAAAGGATTACAATAAGGTTCCCCAAATGAAATCTTTCATTACTTAGCTTCACTTATATAGTAGCTTTCATTCTTATTTCTTATTGGGGAAAATTTCCAATTTATACAAATGTAGGTGGAATAACCTAGTGAAACCTCGCATGTGCATTCTCTAGCTTCAGCAATGATCGACCATGTCCAAATCCAGTATATGGATAACTGAATTGCTTTGCTGTACACTTGAAAGTAACATTGTAAATCAACTACACTTCAATAAAAAAAAATAAATTTTCTTTTAAAAAGGAGAAAAGGAAAAAAATTAAAAAGTAGTTATGTGGCACATTTTAAAAACTCAACGCAACCCCTACTGTTTACTGGTGATGTCTTGCAATCTTAGAGAAAGTTGAGTAAGCACATGGGTTAGTAGACCAGCACACATTTTGAAAACAAACTGAAAGAGCACTCCAGGTCAGCCAGATTCCATCAGGAAGAAATGGCAGGTAAATCATGGGTACTGAGAGAAAGGATAATTTGTGCAAAACTGGGCAAAATACGGGCTGGAGGATTCCCCAAGGAAACAGGCAAAGAAATGACAAGGTGCAATTTTCCTTTAAAACTGGAGCAATTTTATGAGGGCTAGATTGAAGAAGGCAGAAAATCAGAGTTTGAGGATGACATTTTAAAGTTATATCAACAAAATTCAGAATATTGGAAATTCTATAAGATAAATGACTGGGTTTCATCATCAGATAAATTGCAACAGGGTGGTGAAGGGGGGAGATAAATGGAGGTTGAACCCATGGGATAAAACAGATTTAAGAGACATAATAACCAATGAGTGTGTGAACTCTCGATTCTGATTCAAAAAACTAAGAGTAAAACAAAAAAAAAAAAAGAGAGAGAGAGAGAATCAGATATTTGAACACTGCCTGGATATTGGATACTAGTAAGGTAATGTTGGTTTACTTAAGGTGTGATGATATCTCAGCTATTTTTGAAGACTTCTTAGCTTTTTGAGATAAATCCTGAATCATGTATGGATCAAATGGTATGATAACTGGGATTCACTTAGAAACAATCTAGTAATGGTTATGGTAGGGGCACCAGGGAGGAAAGGCTTGGGTATAGATGAGATGCAGCAGACAAGCATTAGTCATTGTTGAACTTGGAGGAAGATGGGGTTACCTAATACCATTTTCTACTTTGGAATATGTTAGAAATTCTCTATATTAAAAAAGTCTCCTAGTTCAGAACTACTACATACATTTTCCTTGATATTTCTTCCCAAAGTCTGAAGGCAGAGGAAGATACTATAAATTTCTTCAACCAATCAGAAATTTTCATTAATGGGCACTTTTGAGTTTTGCCATTACAGACGAAGTTCACAATGATGAGCTGAAGGCACTCTGAAACATTGAAAGATTAAATTATGTTTGATAAAATTTTGGTATTAAAATAGATCTTGCTGTATTCTAATTCTTTGCAAATTGACAATCCATGACGGGTGTGGTTTCCTCTTAACCGGAACACTGAATTCCCCAATCATTTAACAGAGTTTTTCTATATCCTTAGTTAGACGAAGGAGACTTTTAAGCAAATATTCCGCCTCTGAGCCTATGAAATTTATACATATCAGTGTGCACCTCATTTAATTTCTGAGGACACCTTCAGAGGGGGTTGTCACCTTGAAACACTTGCACACGTAGAGGTCCAATCACTTAACAAAGAGTAAGTATTTAAGGTGTGGCCCCAGGAACAGGGAAAAATCAGACTCTGATGGGACTACACTCCTCAACCCAAACCCAATCTACCGTGCTATTTATGTAAAGTATTGCCCCTCTGTTTGTAACTACATGCTGTGATCTAAACATGTCCTTTTTAGACCTGTAATTCAAAGCACAAAAGGGGTTTGTTTAGACATCAGGGTAACCCAAAAGAAGTGCTAATGGTTAAGTCCTTGATTTGACTGAAGCCTTGCTTCAGTGAAATATCAACCACTTTGTAGGGAAACATTAGAACACCTAATAATGTGGTATTATGCAGCTCAAACAACAAATTAACTCATGGAAATGATCACTTTTCTAAGGCTACAGGTTATATTTGTAAGTAGCTTCAAGGACAGATGACTCATCATGAGGCTATTTTAATTACTCTTTGAAGATAATTCTAGCATTTGTTCCCATCTTTATAGAAATTCACCCATCACTTGATTATCTCTTACCAAAAATAAAATTGGTGCCAAGCCACACACGTTTCTCTTAGATCTAAGAAGGGAAGAATCACTCTGTCTCAATCTGTTTGTGTCCAGTCTCAGTGGGTGGGCAGCTGGAGATTCTCGCTTCCTGATTGACAGGCATAAAGGGACTCTGTTCTTTCTTCTGATAGCAGTTAGGGTGGAAAGACACAGAGAAGCCTAAACAACCAAGTTCTGTGGTCTTTCTCCTCCACTCAGATCAAAATTATGTTAACTCTGTAAAGTCTGAATTTTTTTTTTTTAGCTCTCATTAGTAATTATCATATTCATGACGGCCTGGCACTGTGCCAAACACTTCTCCTGTATCAAATCAGTAATGCCTTCACCTTCCAGGTAAGTCTTATTACCTCCCCATTTTACAAGGCAGGCAACTGATGCTCAAAACGACTGAGTAACTTATCCAAAGACCAAAGCTGGTGAATGATTGGCTGAGCAGGGCTCACACCCCCCAATGTCTGACTGCAGAACCTGGTTCCATCACCGCTGGGTACCCACTCTGTGCTGGACACTGTTCCTAACAAGATCCCTGTCTTCAAGGCATGGAACTGAACCAGAGCGCTCAGCATGGGAGCTGGGGCAAACAGAGCAGGCGTCATGGAGGAAAAAATGGTGTGGCTTCCGAGAGAGAAGGGGGTGGTTCCAGGCAGAAGAAATGGCATCAGAAGTTTAGGCCCAGAAATACCAAAACAGCTTGGGTCCACTTTAGCTCACATGGAATGTGTATGTAGAGCCTAACTGAGGGTGGCCTTGACCGCCAGGTTAAAGAGTTTGGACTTTATGGAATTCTGGTATAAAAAAAAACACAGTAAAGCATTGTATTTGGTTTCATTCTTCAAAGCATGGATACTGCCGTAGCATTACAAAATTGTTTAAAAGGAATTGTACAGCCAATGGTTGATTTTTGTCGACATTGAGATAGTACAGGAGATATTTCTATCTTATTTTTCCTTCAGAAAAGCTCTATTTTTTCTCTTTAAAGAAAAAGTTCAAAAAACAAACCAACTTTCCCGTCACCTCTTAAAAAACAACTCCTGCACTGTTGGGAACCACGGTCTATGTATGTGTTTACATTTAACATCACTGTCCCCCACGCTGTCATCATTAGTCATCATTAGTCATATAAGTAAACAGTATAATATAAGAGAGGTAAACAAAATTTGCTGGGCCTTTTGTTCAGTCTTCTCATTTACAGCAAAGCATTGGCTCCCTCACGATTACGGGGCTGAGTTTTCTGCCCCACCACAGGCTGTGGGACCTTGTGGTCCAAACACAGGAGATAGGACGTAGAACAGTCTGCAAATGGACACAAAGTATCTAACGTTTCACAAAATAGAATAAATAATAGAGACAGCACAAGTGATTCTATCCCATTTTGAAAGATTCAGCAAAGCAGATTTGCCTATAAAAGGAATTGTCAGTTATTTTAGCTATGACGGTCCTTTCTGTGTTTAGGCTTTGGAACCAGCATCCCGGACCTACCCTCCATCCTCAGGGAGGGTTTGGGATAAGGAATATGTTTCTGGTAACAGAAATCATTCAAATGGAGACTGAGAGCAGTGCCTTCAGTTACACTTGGGTCCAATCAGGGTTCCAGGTTGATAGTTTGTGTTATTTTTTGAATTGCTATGTCTCCGACAACTCCAAATGTGAAATTCTACAAACTTAAAGGGATATTTACACTTGTAGGTAGTAGTGGATTTTGGGTTTTCTCCTCTGCTTGGGGGATGTGGCAGTGATGGTTGGGGGAGCTCTCCAATAGATGCTGGCTGATGGAGGGGTCAAGTCTACCTCTTCTAGGTGCTATTCAGAAATGATACAATTCCCTTGGCTGGTTACAGCTGCCAGGGTCCAGGTTCCTTATGCTTGTGGGTGTTCAGGTGAAGGATAACGTCCTCTTTTAAAATCTGACTTATGTGACCTCTAGGAGATGCTCCTCCCACTGGCAGGTGGGGCAAAAGCCAGAGTAGGGTAACACTGGCTATCTCTGGACCCTTGGTAGTTGCTCCGGGGCTGAAGATACTGTTTTGACTCTGGGTGACCCTTGTCAAACAGAAGAGCCACTTGCTCACATTGCCAGCCATGCATCTGTCCCTGAGTTATCAGCTATGTGACTGAGCATAGACGGGCAGGGAATTCCTAACTACAGGGGTTTCGTTTTCCTTAGTTTCAAGAAACCTGAGTTATCCCAACTAAAGTAAAATCACAGAATAGATTATCATACAGGTGAGGAAATTTTAAAAGGTGCTAAATTTTATACCTTATTAACTGAATACATACTTTTTCTCTGCCCTATTCCTTTCTCCTTTCCAACCTTCTAGTGGCCTCTGTTTTAAACAAAGATACAATTTATCCATCCTTTTGCCCAATTGTAAAAACATCATTTTTAAGAGAAAAATACTTGGATTTTATCGTCACACTTTTCACTTCACTCTTTAATCCAACTAAGGTTCGAAATAAGTACATCAATTGAGAGAGAGAGAGAGAGAGAGAAATACTAGTAAATACAATCAAGCAACTGGAATACTACTTGGCAATAAAAACAACCCAACTATGAATACAACGACTTGAATGGATCTCAAGAGCATTATGCAGAATGAAAAAAATCCCATACACTTGACTCCATCCATGTAACATTCTCCAAATGATAGAAATACAGAGATGGAAGATACCTGGATGGTTGTCAGAGTAGAGAGAAGGGGGTGGGTGTGACTATAAAGGAGCAGTTCTGTATCTCTGAGATGTGGAAGCTCTGTATCTTGGTTGTGGTGGTGGTTGCACAAATCTGTGCACGTCATAAAATGGCACAGAAATTCTACACACCATTGTCAATTTCCTGGTCTTGCTACTGTAAGAAAATTATGTCTGATGTAACCATTGGAGGAAACTGGGTTAAAGGTATTTGGAGCCTCTCTGTGTTACCTTTGCAACTTCCGATGAACCTATAATTACTTTTTTTTTTTACATAGTTATCAAAGGAATAAAGCCAACTACAAAATAAGAATCAACAGAATGCAGTACTCCAGTCATAAAGGACAGTCAAATGTGCTTACACAAACTCAAGAAAGCAAAATAATAATTAGTTCATTTGTATTATTATTATTATTATTATTATTATTATTATTTTTAGATTTCTCATACAAATGATATCATATGGCCTTTTCTTTCTCTTTTGGCCCACTTCCCTTAGAATGACCATCTTCAGGTCCAGAACCTATAATTACTTTAAAATAAAAAGTTTAAATATATAGAAATCAACCAACAGCCTGGACTCCTCTGTACAGCAAGTACAAATTTAGCATAACAACCTGTGCCAAAAGAAGTGTCAGATCTTTTTTCTAAAAAATGTGTTGGTACTAAAGAATTGCTTCAAAGACAAGAAGGAACAAAATAGTGATGAACTGAGTTTTCCAGACTAAGACAAAGTCGCCCTTTTCCGTAGAGCTCTGAACCGTCTGACTGCTTTCCAGGCATTCACAGAGAGAGGCTGGAAGGACGAACCCCTTTCCTAGAGCAGGCTAACGATCAAGGTCAGTTTGGTCATACAGTTTACGCGGACGTTCTCCATCCCGGTCCCACATTCCTCTCTCCCATTTGGAAAAATTCCAGAAAATAAGACCACAGCATGGAGCCCCACGCAGGACGCAGGAAACATCTCTTAAGACAGAAAGGTCCCCGTAGCCGGTCTCCTTAACGAACGCCTCCCTCTCCCGCTCCTTTTCCAGTTCTTTGCTGCGTCTCCCACCAAGCTCGTCTCACTCACTCGCCTGGATTTTCTGGCGAAGTCCTAGCAAAAGCAGGCAAACCTGTGAGCGGTGCGGCGGCCTCCCGCGGTCCTCCTCCCTGCGCGCCGCGATCCAGCTCATGCTCCCCACGCCCCGCCGCCCGCAGCGCAGGACGCGCGCGTCACCCGCGAGCCACCAGCCACCAGCCACCAGCCAGCAGCCACCAGCCACCTGGAGATGCTACTGAGCAGCCCGCACCGAGTACCAACCCGGCAAACCCAGCAGCAGCCAGATCAGCTGTCGGCCAAAGTTGCCTCTTGGTGACTTACATCTTTTTTTCTTTTTCTTCTTTAACATTTTTATAGTACCCTGAGTGTACTCAGTGTTATAAAATGATGCCAAAACAAAGAGCAAAGTCCTTGTCCTGAGGAGCAGGCCGTGTAAAAGGCGCGAATGACGCAAGGCAAAATGACAGGACAAACACAGGGTAGGGAGGAAAAGTAAGGTAGAATCAATAAGCCTTCCAATGGACCAAGAATGGAAAGGGTGAGTCAGGGACCCAACCCCTCCCGCGCACAAAGTAGAAATAAAGATTTGCAATAATAGCAGTAGGAATAGGGGGATGTGCCATGCAGTAGCATCGAATTAATTCTATAAAGTAGGTGCTTGTTATTATGTCTAATTGGAAACCCAGGGTTTCTTTTAACTGTTTCACAAACACCTCTAGTGCTTACCAAGTGCCAGATATGCTTCTGAATGCTTTGCATAGATTAGCTCCTTTAATTCTCATAAAAGCCTTCCAAAGTAGGAATTGTTTCCCTCACTTTACTCATAAAGGGAATGAAGCAGTCAGATTAAGTGACTTGCTCGAGCCAGTGAGCCAAGATTTGAACTTGGAAGAAACTGTAAGGATGGAGTCGAGATCTGTATTCAGGAAGCCCAACTCCACAATGGCACCAGGATTTATATCCACACATCCTGACTCCCAACCTGCCTGCTTGACCAGGTGTAACAATGCACACTGAAGACATAATTTAATTTTAACATGTTTAGATTGACTAGTAACAATGCAGATTTACTTTGTAAAGGCTTTTAATATTGCAATGATAAAGTGTTAACTTGAAGAAAAAATATTGTTAAAAAAAAGATGAGCAGGGGACAGGTTTTCCTCCTTCCTTCCTTCATTCAACAAACATGCATGAATGTGGTTTATGCCAGTTTGTGCCCTACTATGTGAGGCACCAGGGCGACAGCAGTGATCAGAAGACACACAAATGAGAGAAAGCAAGGAAACAGAGATGATGTTTGTTTTAATGATGGAGACACACTAGATGTATCAGGGGCAAATGGTAAACAGGAAATAAGGGACCATTTCAGTCTTACTACCCAGGGAATGACGTTATTCTCAGCTGCACTGTCCCGCATGAGTATTATTTAGCCCTTTTTTCATTTCCTTCCTTCTGTTTCCTTCATTTTAGTTACGACAGTTGGAGGAAAACACATTTATCAAAGAACACTCAGTACAGACATTTGCAAACATTTCATGGTGCTTTGGGTAGCAGAAGCAGTAACATTAGTAATATGAGCTATCACATATTGAACGCTTACTATGTACTAGGCACGAGTCTAAGGACTTTACATGTGGTAACTCATTGAATCCTCAGAACTGTCTCAGGAGGTAGATGCTTATTATGATCCTGATTTTATAGATGAAGAGACTGAAGTCCAGAAAGATTCAGAAACTTGCCCAAGGATATAATGTTAAAAAGTGGAGGTTTTAATCTGTGAACTGAAATTAGGGTTTGGATTCTTTACAGATTTTATTTATGCTTTGAATCCCCTTTCTAATGACAGTATGACTGAGAGTATTTCCCAAGTGTGGAAATGGCGAAGTGGCACGCAGACCTCGGAGCCTGGAACGAAACGTTGGCATAAAAGATTGCTGAGGGTTGTTGGGGTGGCAGCTAACGGGTGCGATGCTGGGCTTCTTTTTAAGGTTATGAAAATGTTCTCAAACTGATTGTGGTGATGGCTGCATACTTTAAGTGGGTGAATTGTATGATATGTGAATTAGATCTCAATAAAGTTGTTACCAAAAGAAAAAAAAATCCCTAAAGAAAGAAGAGATATTGGCAGTTAAGTTTTCAAAGTCTGTTATCAAAAGCCAGAATCTTAACTGGCATAAACATCTACCTTGGAGATAAGAGGGTGAAATATCATTACTGTCATCTCATTTCATTTTTTTATTTTTGAAAGGGGGATAATTAGGTTTATTTATTTTATTTCTTTCTTGGTGGAGGTATTGGGGATTGGAGAAAGGACCTCCTGCATGCTAAACAGGCCCGCTACCAATGACCTATACCCTCCCCCACTTATTTATTATTAATTTTTAATGGAGGCACTGGGGGTTGAACCCCTAACCCTGTGCATGCTGGGCATGCGCTCTGCCACTGAGCTATACCCTCCTCCCACCGCTTCACTTCTTAAAAATATTTTTACTTCCTGATTCCTCTATAACACACTAAAATTAAAAAAAAATTTAGACCAGTAAAAACTAAAATAAGGAGAGAAATCCCCCTTAGCTACCTCCTAAGGGAAACATTTGGAAGTCTTTTTCTTGGTTGTGTAGATTGTATCTATGCTAAAATAGAATATCTCTTTAAGAACCAAGAAAAATGATTTATTTTTCCCATACAGGAGACAATGAAGTCTAGTCTTTCCATTTGAGCTCATTTTAAAACACTAACACTATAGTCTAAAAAAAAAACCTATAGTTCTCTATTATAGGGCCATAATAAAGTAATAAAAGGTATTGCTGACTCCTGTATTCAGTCATTTTGTTCCTTGTTAGCACAGTTCACTTTCGAAATTCAAGGGAGGGGCAGAGGTATGGGACACTTGCAGAGAGACCACGGAAGGACTTTCAGACCACACCTCCCCGCCATGTCCCCTCCTTGCCTCCTCCCAGGAAACTCTTAAATTTCCAAAGGGCTCCTACCTTCTCCTTTCAATGCTTAGTAGGGTCCTTCTGTTGAGAATCCTCCTCCATTTTCTTCACTTCTTTGCCCGGCTAATGTTTATTTCCGCTTCAAAACCCAGCTCAGACATTATCTGGTCTAGAAATCTTCTCTGACCTCTGTCCTAAGCCAGGTTCGGTGGCAGAGTGCTCAAATCTGATTCTTTTTTTTTTTTTTAACCCTGGCCCTTCACATGCTGTTAGTGCAACCGTTTGCTTATTTATTCTTTCCCCCACTAGACTGATTCACTTATTCAACAAACATTTCTTGAGCACCTAGTATCTATCCAGGACCATGGAAGGTGTTAGGGAGACAAGGATAAAAAAAACTCCCTAATATAGTTCCCGGGAGACAATGATACCCAGTGATGCTTGGTGGAATGAATGAATGGAATTAGGCCTTTACAAACAGAGTAGGAGGAAGATCAGGAGCAGATTAGCAGGCACATGAAGGTCATTTGGTTTTTCCATTCCCCTTCCCCTCACATCCTACTCTGGTGTCACCTCTCTAAGCCTCTTCTTGCTTTAAGTTTTTGTTCTCCTAGTAATTTGTATCTCACTGCTTGCTGTTTATCGGAAGCAGGATCTTTGGTGTAGGAGGGACATAGTTCTGATGCCAGCCTTGTCACTTACTAGTTGTGTGACCTTTGGCTCTTTCCCTAATTTCTCTGGGCTTCAATTTCCTCTTCTGTAAAATGGAGGTAACGAGCCTCTACAGCACGGAGTACTGTGTGAAGAGTAAATGTGATTCATGCGTGGAAGGGGTTTAGCTCAAAGCCTGGCTTGAAAGAGCCCTCCTTTTCTTTCTTCTGTCTCTCCCCTGCTCCAGGCGCTCACTTACTGCAAGAAGCCGTCAGAGCAGTAGTAAAATATAAGGTGATTTCACATGGTAACATGCAAGCACATTTTAAGAACTTGTAATATTATTATAATATATCTTCAAACATGTAAAACGTCATAAAACCCCATTAAACCTTTGATTTTTATAGAAATATAAAAAATAAAAAAGGGGTGTAAGTTTTTTAAACAATTAGAAAATATTCTTAAGTGGGTGCAAAGGATAAGGAAAAAACAAATAGATAAGTAAAAAGAAAAAAAAACAAATCAACAAAGACAATGATATAAAAGAAGGAAAAAAGGAAGAAAAACATTTAACATAGAAGTCCACAAGATACTATATTTATTATGCTTGCTCACCAGGTTTGAGAAAGTCAGAGGTAACCATAGTTATAGTGTGCATTTCTCAATAGTCACTTGTAAAAAATCTAATTCTGGGGCTGGCAAAGATTCACTCTTTAGCAGCATGATCATGTTTATGGCTTTCTCAGGACAGGATTAGTCTCTAACAGACTAAGAAGTCAGGTTTGGGTCCCTAGATGTCACCTGTCTGGTTCTGCCCGTGAAAAAGTGCAAAGTGAAAGAAAATTGTTCTTTGCATTTTAGAATGAGTAAGTGACAAAATAGAACTGCCAAAGATGTTCTATATCCCCCACGCTGTGTATCTCCATTTCCTAATCTGTAAAAGGGTTATAACAGTAGAATAGATCTGGTAAGGTTGTTACGAGGGTCAAATGTTAACATAAAAGAAGCACTCAGTAACCTATACGGAATATAGTAATTTGTGTGTGTGTGAGAGCCATTACGATCATTAACCTAGTGGAGACTAACCTCCTCCCAGTGCCCAGCCCTGTGTGCTCTGGCAGAAGAGCTGTCTTCTTATCTGCCAGCCTTGGAAGTCATTTATCCCTTTATACCAACCTTCCTGCTTCCTGAGGGTTTGGGGATACAATTAACCCAAGAGAAGCTTTCTGTCTCTGAACACACATGGTATGCAGTCATTTGGGAAGATCAGATAGTCTCTTCAGTGTCTTGGTCCTTACAAAGTTCTACCAAGAGCACAGATTTTCTGTAGATTCATCTGTTAGAATTTGAGAGGCTCTATCATGCACACACACACACACACACAGACACACTCTTCTTGTGTTCCACATGAGAGAGTCCACCAATCTCACACACTCCTTGGAGACTTGTTTGCAATGGGGACAGAAAAAAAAAATCCATGAGCTAATTTACACCCCTTCCTCCCAAAAGTTAAGATCTACAAAAAGGTCATAACCAAAGTTGAAGCAAATCCCAGCTACCAGGCCCTGGAAATTGTGGTCTGGGTGTGCCGTGCTCTCTTTCCAACATAAGACAATTTAGTCATAATGATGATTATGTCTGTGCTGTCTGGGGAGCAGATAAAGATGAATATAAGAAATCAGGAAACTGGGGAACAGGCCAGTCACGGTGAAAGCTTGGCCACTCCCTCCCTTCCTTAAGGGTGAGAAGGAGCACCAGTATCCACCGATAACAAAGAAAGCAGGTCCAGCTGCCTTGGGGGATGCGGCACCGGCCAGGAAGTCCGGAGGGAAATGCCCGGCCCAGGTCTGTTTACACCTCCAGGGCAACAGCTTCCCCTTCACCTCTTTTCTCAGGATCTAACATTCCCCTGAGACAGGTGGAGAGACATCCTTTGCACTGAGAGATACGCATAAAGAGCCAACCTGTCCTCCTCCGGTGAAACCAGGGCCAGGTATTCAAAGGCACTGCGGAGGACAGGGGCCGGCCGGGATCTCCAGATCCTCCCCAAGTTATCTCGGGACCCCCAGCTCCTGCCCTCATTACCTCTCACACGCCCCGGCACACCAGCGACCCAGTCTCCCGGGCTTGGGTCCCCCGGTTTACTTCATCCCCTTCCTCTAGCCCAGTCAGCAGCCCGGTGCGCATCTCCTGGGCTGGTCCTGATGCACGTACAAGGGGCACCTATCCACCTGTACTTGCTGGATCA